GCGGCCGATGTTCTCTCTCATCGATGTTTCTCTCTCTCTCTCCCTCTTCCTTCTTCTCTCTCTAAAATCAATAAAGAAAAAAAAAGCTTTTCCACGTGTTGTAATTTTATTTCTATGGATTTTTGAATGGCTCAAACCCATTAAAATGGATGATTGGTTCAGGCTCTGAGCTTCCTGGCAGCTAGGTGAAAAAAAAGGTCAATTATCTTTATGGACCATGGGGAAAAAATGTGTGAGGCCACAGTACATAGATATTTGATCAAATATTCTAAGTGTTTCTGTAAAGGTATTTTTTAGATGAGATTAACATTTAAATTGGCAGAATTTGCCCAGCCAGTGTGGCTCAGTGGATTGAGCATCGTCCCATGGACTGAGAGGTCCCGGTTCAATTCCGGGCTCGATCCCCAGTAGGGGGCATATAGGAGGCAGCCAATTGATGTTTCTCACATGGACATTTCTGGCTCTCTCTCCCTTCCTCTCTCTCTAAAAAAAAATCAATAAAAACATATTTAAGTAAATAAATCGGCAGAACTGGAGTAAAGCAGATTGCCCTCGGTGATGCGGTAGGCTTCACCCAGTCCCTTGAAGGCCAGGCTCAACAGAAGACCGGGAGACTCTGCCATCAGACCGCCTTGGCCCGAACTGCAGCTCTTCCCAGGTCTCCTGCCCACCAGCCACCCCGGGAGTCCTGGACTTGTGCCAGCCAATTCCTTCAATAAACCTCTCTTCCTCTATACACATACAAGCGTGCACACTATTGGTTGTTTCTTTTGAGAAGCTCTATACCCATACTGGGGTAGGTATTACCCTTGTTTTTAAAAAGAATTCTGGTTTCCTCTCCTTCTGGGTCCATGAAAGGATTACTCTTCCCTGAAAACTTAAAGTAAATCATGGCCACATGACTTGCTTTGGCTAATAAAACAGAGTGACTGGTACCTTCTAAGCAAAGGCACTTAAGAGCCAGGGCGTGACTCTTCACGCTCGTCCCGTGGCACCCCGTGGCACAGAGCCTTGAGTCATGCTGTGATGGCAGATGCTTAAGGTGCTGCCTCCCTCAGCCTGGGCTCCGGGGTAGAGCACAGAGAAGTTTGTCATTTCAAACAACTGAGATTTGAGGTTGTTTATGATATACCACTGGGGGGACAAAGTCCTGTATCCTAGCAACATCCACTCAACAGGCAGATTACGAATGTTTAATGTGTTCGTTATTGCCACGCCAATAGGACCGTTGCTGGACACAAACGCTGCATGGTGATTTGGAAGACTGCGTGCTCCCACGACGGCAGACGTTTCTCTAAAATGACTTTATGTAAACTTCTCACGAACTGCCTCTCCTTTAGTCCACATTATTGTTAGTGTTTTGCCAAACCCACTAGCATCAATTTCATGATAAAACTTGGAATAAATGGAACCCATATGGGTATGAACATTTTGTAAACAAGACCTTGAACACACGTCTATCCCAACTGCTCAAGTGTTTTATACTGCCATGAAAACCCTAGAGTGTGTCCACCTTCTAAATTCAAAGCTCCTACCAAGAAAATCTTTCCATAAGATAGATGAATCAGAACAGAAAATCTGGCTGTTGCTAGATGGGGAGAAACAGCATGAAGATGGAGGCTAAACCACACGGGCCTGTGGAGACGAGATAAACAGATGGAGATCATCGTTTTCACAATTATCTGGTCTTCAGGTTATCTGGAATTTCAAGACAGGAACATATGGTTGAGATCATCAAATCCATCTAAAGTGTTCAGATTTTTTAAAGAATTCTCAAATTTTTGGTTCAATTAGAAAAAAAGGATAGATAGCACCACTTTATCCCATAAATACCCCAATCTGCAAACTGGGTGCGGGGAGCACACGGGCCGTTTACTTCAGTGCCCCGCGAGGCCCAGCACAGCACCTGCCTACTGCTGTCATTCAATCAGTGCGAAATGGACTTCTTAGCACTTCAGCTCCTGCTCCTCGGCCACCTCCGCCACCTCCCCGACAAGGGAGCAGGACAGGCACGTTAGCGTCACCCCGCATGTGCCGCCCCTGCCCGTCCACTTCTGCGGTCGCGCCCCCACTTTGGCAAACCAGACTCCAAAGGGTGAGTCAAAGCCGGTCAGTTGGCAACGCAGACACTTGGGCTGCGCTGCTGTGTCCTGGTACAAACAGGCAGCAGCTACTGGACTAAAAGTAGCCGCTGGATACTCAGACGCCAGAGAGGTCAGGACTAACCAAGTCCAGCTCAACAGCGATCAGCTCAACCTTAGGACAGGCAGTCACAGGCATGCTGTCGAGTACAGGGCCTCCAGAAACAAGGTCACCAGAGACAAAAGCTGTGTCTTCCTTTCACCAACAATTTCTTTTTGTGAAGAGAAGAATGGTTAATGCAGTTTGGCTGTAGCGAATAGCCCTGGCCACAGAATGGGCTGGGATTTGCCTCTGAATAGAAGAGCTAGCCAATAGCTGAGAACCCTCTGCTCTGAGGACGAAGGTCAGTGTCAGTCCCACTCAGGGAACAGACTGGCCCTGCACCCGGAATGCTGTACTGAGGTCGCTGGAGAGTCAGTGCACTTCTCAAGCCACACCCCCAGGTTCCTTCTCTTCTTACAGGTTATTACGGCCTCCAGGGTGACAGACTAGACACAGCAAGTCAGTGCTGCTGAGACTTCAGTCCTTAAGGAAATCCCTTAGACACTTGCTCCCATTTGTCACATAATTAAGCACTCCGCATTGCCCTGATAAAAAAGCTTAAGATGTAAACCATCCTTCAGTAACATTCCCTTACTGGATGCTGAGAGAACAGGAAAATCATACCACATGTCTGCCATCTGTATTTGCACTTGTCAACAGCTCTGTTTGGGGATAAACAGTTTTGAAATCAGAATCAATTCGACTTGTTGGAAGATTAGCCAAGGAATAGCTCAGAAGACCAAAACAGAACATGAAGTCAAATAGTCTAAAAAATCAGGCACAGTTTCTGTTTCTCACCAGACATTCTGTTGTGTCACAACCCAAGAGAAGAGTAGAACAGCCAGGGTTGGGGGCAGGACAGGGAATATGTATTCACTCAAGTGAAAAATTCTTCAACTCAGAACAAATGTCTTTGCTACAATGCAACTGGAAATCATTCACTGACCTCTAGGAGACTACAGTTAAGAAAAAAGTAATTTTAGCATTTACAATTTCATGGTTCTACTGTGTGGAGGTATACACAGGGGACAGCTTGCATTGGGTACAGTGCATAAGATGGTCCTTTATTACCATAAAAATGGTAGCATTTCCCAAAGTCGATCTTGATTAAAAGTAGTTCCATGGTTGAAAACACTACCCACTGTAGAGCTATTAAAATAGAGAGATGGCAAGGGGAAAATAAAGACATACACCGAGAAAGAGGTCAGGGAAGAAGGTAGCACAAATAAGATGCTACAGATTGGTGGGAGATAACAACAGAACTGCTTCTAGAAGCAGCTGCTGTAAGTGAATGAAGGGGCAGGTAACCTGGCAGCCCCAGATTCCAGAAAACAAGAGAGAACAGGTATGCTCCACCTGGAGGGACTTCCATTTTCTCCCTAAAAGAAGTCATTTATAAAAGAGCAAATTGGTGGTTTGCACTTACAGACTGCACCCTTTCCAAGCCCCTGTCAAGCAGTGATAAATTACTGACGCATAGCCTACTCTTATTTTTGGTGTACACACAGTTAAACCTTGTGAAATGTTTCTGTTCACCTTTCCCGAGTTATTAATTAAAAAATAATTGTTTCCACTTACGCTGTGATCTTTAAAACAAAACGAGACAAAGTGCTGCACAGACCTCCCCAGAACCAGCACTGCCCCCTCCTCCTCCTCCCAGATCCGGCCCCCACATCCTTCAACCAGACAACTGTTTAGAGTGGGGACGGGGGAGGAAGGCCGATTCGCCGCTCACACAATCGTCTGCGGTTCATTCGACCAGTGCCCAGATGTATTTGCTGTCCCTAGAGACAGCGTAAACTGTTCAGAGAATAAAGCAGGGTTGTGGAAATCCCATTAATAACTTGTGAAAACCCTCTCAGCAGGAGTCAGGGCACACAGAGAGGCCCTTGCACCAGCACGATGAATGTTTTGGGGCTCTGCTCCCGGACAAGGTCCCCCCAGCACAGCTGTGACCCGAGGGAAAGGCCCCGAGTGCCCCTCCCCGAGCAACAGTGAGGAGAGATTACTCCCCAATCAGTTCAGCAACTGGGTCCTGAACACCTTTGCAAGCTCGAAGCTCTGCTTTACTCTGAGGACCGCCAGACAGAGGAGCAGGGCCGGCTCCCCCGCCACGTTCACCAAAGGAGCACGTGGCGCTGATGCCAGGCTCCCGGAAGACCGAGAGCCTACAGGTGTAGCTGCGCACGAGGGGAAGAGGTGACAGCGGCAGACGTGGCTCCAGTGCAGCATTCTCACTGGGCAGGTTGGGAACCTTTCGAATTGCTCCCCCAGCCCGGCCGGTGTGGCTCAGTGGTTGAGCGTCGACCCTGCACCAAGAGGTCGCTGGTTCGATTCCGGGTCAGGACACATGCCCAGGTTGTGGGCCCGATCCCCAGTGAGGGACATGCAGGAGGTGGCCAATCGATGTTCTCTCTCATCTGTTTCTCTCTCTCTCTCCTTCTCCCTTCCTCTCTCTAAAATCAGTAAAGGGGGGAAAAAAAGAAATAAAAAACAAATCTCTCCCCGAAACCAATTCGGATCCCCACTCCTTCTGTGGAAGTGCCCTCTTGGATCCCCGATTCTAGTTTCCATCAGGTGACTGCACCGGAGGCGGAACTTCCGACCACATGGCCCTGTGAACCCTCAGACTGACCGGGAAGCCTGTGTGGAACATTTCACACGCGTGTGTGTGGGGAAAGGGAGGGGGGATGAAGGAGGACGTTCTCGGACGCCTGAGTTATCACCATGCACGTCACTTCAGCCCGCTGAGTACGTGAAACGGCCAAACCAGGTGACACTGCTCGGCACTCAGAAGTCACATAGGGAGAAACAAAGACGTTTCTTTTTCTTTTTTTATTCTCTTTGCATTCTGCACACTGACACAGAGGTAAAAGAAAATGACTGGAACTTAAATATGAAAGAACTCTTTACAATTAAATCCACAACTGTATACATTTACCTTACTCACATGTCAGTGAAACATCACCATTATGAAATTTGACAAATTATATCAAAAAACCCCGAAAAGATCTCATAAAAAAATATATCCAAGTCTGAAGAGCGCCGCAGGCTTGACTCCTTCACACCCTCCTCTTCTGCGTGCTGATGTACAACACTGAAAGGGAAGCAGAGGAAGCGAGTTTTAAAGCAAACGGACTGTGGCCTGACACCTGCAGCCTGAGAGGAGTTGTTATAGTACACGGTAAGCCCCAAGCTACTGGAAGACTAACGTCACGGATCCAGACCTGGGTTTGATGTCTCCCAGGACTGTGTTCTAGCCTTCGCAGTACAGCTGACTCACTTCTGTGACCCGGAGGATAAAACAAAACGTATGTGAAAGTTACCAGAATCTAAAAATGTTTTATAATGATAGGTATATTAATTATGCTTGTAGCAAAGTAAATCAATTAATTTTACCAGGCTAGACTGGATTCCAAATAAAGAATATATTTTCATCCACCTCTCCAACAGAAATTCTAATTTGCTGTTTAAATTTTTAACTGCCAACAGGATAAACAAGAGCTGAGGAGTTTGTTATTTAAAAAACAAGAACAAAAACCAAAGTCTTTATTCTGGGTTCCCTGGTAAACTGTCAACCTCTGGTGTTACCCAAAGCTCTGCTTTGTTATCCCCGGGACCACCCACACTGAACTCTTCAGGAGAGGTGTCCACAAGACGATGACAAAATTCAGTGCCTGGGTCACTCTGGTCAAGCTTTCACCAGAGGTTTGCCTCCCGCCCCTCAGATTCGGAAGATTTGTGCAAAGGGATCATTCAGAGGTATCTCGATCAAAGATCACAGCACAGGTTAATCGAGTATGTCAAGATCCTCTGTGAGAGTCAAGGAGTGGACCTGGGAGTGTAAGAATAACTACCACTGACTGTGACATCATGGAGGCATCAGAATGGCAGCAAGAACCTCCCTGGGAAAGGGACATGGTCTAGAAGTCATATGCACGTGGCAGGACCCACCTCCACCACTCAGAGTTGGGACTGACCGCTGCTATCAGTTGTCTTGAGATGGAGAAAAACCATAACATTTCTTAGTAAATGTAAGAAGTCAAATAAGAAAAGTATGAAAAATGGGAGGAGAAATTCTACATGTTAGAAGGTCTAAAAAGCACATATATAAAGATGTGGAGTGAAAATATGGCAGTCAGAACAGGACGCCGAGTTCACAGCAGAGATCCAATGGTTAAGGGGCTGAGAGCCACCCAGAACTAAAGAATGCACAGCAATAAAAACCCAGACTCGAGTCCCAGAGCTCCATTTGGGGAATGGGACCAAAGAGTGGGGAGGGGGGAGAGGGATAATTCGTACAGTTTTGATGTCTTTCCACTGAAAAAATCAAATTTGACTTTAGTAACAATGTGTTTTTACACAAGGTACTTAAAAGTAGCCATGATAATCACGGCAATATAATAGCTGTTAAAGAGCTGAGGAACTTGAGAACTTGTTTCCTGTTTTGTCAAACTAAAGGATATAATCTCCACAGAGGGCATTTGAATGATTAACAGACAAAGGACAAGCTAAACGATGCAAAGTGATGCAAACCAAAGACAGTAGCGAAATACTGGCCATTCCTGCAGCTTCAGCTCCCAGAGTGAGAGGCAGTGCTGGGGGAATATAATAACTGTATTCAACAGAACAGAGAGCTGGGTCAGTATACCAATGCCCCTCAGCTCCCCCAGTCAAGGGAGGGGAGAATTTCTAGGTCCAAAATTCCAAGAAACATACTAAAAAAAAATGGTCACACTGAAGATCTGAAATCTAAGAATTTAAAAGGAAAATTCAAACAGCAAAACTAAAACTGAATTTTAAGTTATCTAGAAAACGGGTTGGTGATCCTGATTAGACACACAAAGGCTTGTTTCAGATGTATGATACAGAGTGAAGGAATACTACCATTGTTCCCGCGGATAAATGCATCCCCATACTTATTCTTCAGTTGTCCATTTACATATTCTTCTGTCTGCTCCAAGGCTATATTCATGTAGCCATCCAGGCAAGCCAGGACCCCTGGGGACAGAGGGAGTCAGAGAGAAGATATACAAAGCAAATAAGAGTTGAAAATTACAGGGTATATCTCAGGGTTGACAATCTGTTTATTCATTAGCTCTTACATGCTTAATATAAAAATTCACACTGTAAATGAAACTCAATAGACAGAAGCACAGAGAAATGTCTTTATGGCCATCTGAATACAGGCTAAGAAGCATACAGCATGAAAGTAGGAAAAACAACAAACTTCACTCTTTTCATGGTATGTGGGATAACAGTAACTTTTAAAGCCTTCACAAAAGTAACATAATAAGAGTATGCCAAATAAAGCACCATTCTGAAAGGGAGTGGGCAATTATGCGGGAGCAAATGACGATGAGCCCAGACTCTCCACTTCCAGCAGCACTTCTTACTTTAGCCACTAAGTGAAACGTGGGCTGGCAGATTTATTTCATTCTTTCACAACATCTACTGCAGCAAATGAATGTCCCCCAGGGTCAAGAGGAAGTCGCCACAATCTGTTAAGATAATAGGAGGAGCCGGCAGGTGCTCCTGAAAGAGCATCTTAGAGCTGTGACTCACGGTGAAGAGAGTACAAGGCACAGACTGCACTAGAACACATCCCTTTCTGTTTGTTACAGTCACAGTGTTTTCAAATCCAGACTAACGCAGAAAAATGGCCAAAAACATTCTAGGGAACTTTCAAAGAAACTGGGCGAATCTATTTAGTTGTGTTACGATGGTTTAACTTTGCAAAATTTGACCTGGTGGTTTTTTTCAAAAGATGAAAAAATATATAAAAGTCTCTCACTCTGAGTATCTAACTTAAAGTGGTATTTTCTAGGAAAAAAAATGTAAGTGAAAGCAAAAACTACAAATTTGATTCAGTGAACCGAGCCGACAGCTTCCTTTAGTCCAACTGCATTAGTATGCTCCTCACCCTGCCTCTGCCCCTTCTCCACGCAACGTAAGTTCCTTTTCAAAAGTATGCATGTGTAATGAGAGCACAAGACATTCACCTGACAGAATTCTGCTAAAAACTGTACATTTTCAGAGAATCAGAAAGGATTGTGAGCATTAACAATTATGTCCTATCAAAAGAAAGCTTCAGATGCGACTTTATAGTTTATTTCCTGCTGTATTAATTTTACAATTAAACAATCATAAAAGAACAAGAAACTTCTGAGACATGATATTCAAGTCTGTTTGAAAGTGCATCAAAAGCATTTCAAAATGAAATGTTCATTTCTAATAAAAATATCTATTTTCATAGCAAAGGTTTTGTTTTTAAGAAAAAGGTTCCAGGAGGTTATATTTGTAACCCTTTCCTTTCTCTAAAGGATAAACTATTATGAATGACAGAAAACACAAAGTTTTCTTCAAACTTAAAGAGACACTGCTCCAGAACGCTGGTTTCCATTATTCTTCAACCATAAACGGGAGCACTCTTTGCAGTGATGTACATCAGGGTACAACCTCCTGCTTCGACAGTACAGAAGCCACGGGCAGACATTCATAAAAGGAGAAAAGTTATGATTATTACCTATGTGAAAGATTGTTTAGTCTCATTAGTAAACAGAGAACTATAAATAAAATGAGATATTACTTGTTTGTCAGTTAGAATGAAAAAGTTGAAAACCAAGCTAATGCAAAAGCTGGTGAGAACCTAGAGAAGAATAAACCCTATGCTCTGATGCTCTTTGACTCAGAAATCTTAGCCCAGGATAAATGCTCAAGATGTAGGTCAAAGGAGCAGACTTGTTTATGACAGCAAAAATTGGTAAACACTTAAAAGTGCATTCACAGAGAACTGGTTAAAAACAAACACAAAACGGTGGTACATCCACCCAAGGTAACCCCCCTGCAATCATTAAACACTTTATATTGTCAGAGAACTGAATGTATTGTTTTAATGTTTAAAAAAAGGAAAGAAAAGAAAATCAGGGTGCATGTGTAGCTGATCTGATTTAAGTAAACTTTGCATGGAGACAGGTCCAAGTTGGTCAGGCTGGCTGACTCTGGGTAGGAGAACTTTGAGAGATTTGGTTTTCTTCTGGAGTATACTTTTCTCCATTATCTGCTTTGAAATTTCTAAAACAGAAGGAAGGAAGGCTCACATATATTATCTTTATAAGTAGAAAAATTCTCCCTAAAGAGCAGAGACAAAGAGGTCTGGCTGGTTGACCTCAACAAAGTGGGCCCTGAGGAGATACTGAAACACAATGTCTCCACCCTAATCACTTGATGAATATACTCAAATGTCTGGAAGTCTACTACCTACTCTTTTAGGCTCATCAAAAGCTCATGGTGAGAAGCAGTACAGAGAGGCTTTATAATAACTCACCATTCAGTATAATCCATTAGTTTCACTACAAAATCAAATTAAACTGGAGATATGTTATTAATATCAAGAAACAAAAACAGAACATAAACAGCTGTGATTTCCTTACAAGGCCTTGGAGTGAAGCTTGCGTGTGAGTCCTAGTCCCTCCTTTACCAGGTGGGGATAATAAGGAGATCGCAAAGAACTAATGTGAAGATAAAATAAAAAGTAAAGTGATTAGCACACACTGGACCCACAGGAAGCTCTCAATAAAATTAAGTCTGCATGTGTGAAAACAGAAAAAGCTCAACGGATTACTATCATTATTCAGAAAAAAGACCAAGAATTATTCAAAAAAGAGACTAAGAAAAGGCCATAAAACTCTGCTAATGAACTAGTTTTCTGTACCTGTAAAATATCCCAGGTAATTTAACATACCTTAATTTTGGAAGATTAGAAATTTAGTAACTTAAAAAAATGAAATTTGATACCATTCCTCCCACAAAATTAATTTTAGTAGCGTCCCAGCCTAAAAGACAGCATTCTCTAAAAAAACAGAAAGGTGTCTTTGGATGAGCTGCATATCATGTGCGTGGGGAGTTCACGCTGTCAAGTGACCCTGTCTAAACAGTGCTGCCAGTCTTCAACGGCTCTGCAGAAACAGGCTGCCGTGCCAGGGTGCTTCAGTAGCCAGCCAGCTCCTCATGCCTGAGGCGACTGGGAACCCCTGGCTCCTGCCAGGGTACCAGGGAACTTGGGCACCCAGGCTCTCAAGGCAGACAGGAGACAAGAGTCCCACAGATCACACCGGAAGTCAGAGCACACACTCTGGTGTCAGTTGTGTCTCTAAAAGGGACCTTCACAGAAGTAGAAAAAGAAGTGGGCATAAAAACTGTGGACAACCAATGCTTTTTTTGGTCCACTGGGTGCATTTAAGAGACCAATAAAAATCAGTAAGTCATATTTACTTATTTAATTACACCAGTGAGGATGAAGCAGAAAAATATTACCTCGATAATCCACTCCAGAATTTAATTTTACCACTACTGGTCGTCCAATGATTTGCTTTAAGAAGTCGCTGGGGGTTTGCTTCCGCAGACTCATTTTAACAATCCTGATCAGAAATCTAAAAAGGAGCAATAAAGGTAAGAACAAAAGTTAATTATTCAACAAAAAAGCCTGAAGCCCTTAACATACTTATAGGAAATCGAGTGTCAACAGAGCACATGTGAAGATTCAGCATTACTGTACCACTACGCAACAGCTAACGTTTTCAGGACCTACTGGGAGCCCGATACTAAGCTAAGCGTTCTCCAAGCATTGTCTCATCAGTCCTCACAACAGCCCCCAGACACAGCTTCACCCTGGAAGAGCCCTGTGTTTACAGAGCCCATCTCAATCTGTCTCCCACACACGTCAGTATGCCCCCTGAAACCACTACCACCCCTCCCCGCCCCGTTTACTGAATGCTTGCTTTATGTATGTAGAGTACTCTGCTAAGATCCTTATAAACACTACCAAATTTAATCTTTACAAGAACCCTGGAAAGAAGGGCTTAATATCCCTCTTTGCTAATGAAAATAAAGGCACAGAGAAAGATGAAATAATTTGCCCCCAAGAGTGACGAAATCAACGTTCAAGCTCTAATCAGCCATATTTTAAAGTTTGTTATATAATGTAGACAGATTTAGACTATGATGCCCAAATAATTATAATCATATCAAGTTACTATGTGAACGTGCTCCATGCCAGTACTTATCCAAGCACTTCATGTATTAATGCACTGAAACTGCACTCCCCGATGAGGCAGGTATTGTTTTTACCCTCGATTTACAGGTGAAGAAATAGAGAAAGGGTTAAACATCACGCCCAAGGTCACACAGCTAGTAAGTGATGCCAAAACCACAACCTTAGACAGCCTCCTGGAAGTGGTATTGCAGCCAAAGATTTTCATTCTGTTACAATTATAGCACACATATCCTCTATATAATAAAGGAAACAGTTTTAAAATTCAAACATAACCCAGTCGGTGTGGCTCAGTGGTTGAGCATTGACCCAAGAGGTCACCGGTTCCATTCCCAGTCAGGGCACATGCCCAGGTTGTGGGCCCTATCCCCAGTGGGGGGCATACAAGAGGAGGCCAATTGATGTTCTTTCTCTTTGATGTTTCTATCTCTCTCCCTCTCCCTTCCTCTCTCTCTAAAATCAATAAAGAAAAAAATCGCCCTGGCCGGTTTGGCTCAGCAGTTAGAGGGTCGGCCTGTGGACCAGAGAGTCCTGGGTTCAGTTCCCACTAAGGGCACATACCTCGGTTGCAGTTTGTTCCCAGCCCCCGTTGGGGTCGTGTGGGTGGTGACCAGTCAATATGTCTCTCTCACATTGATGTTTCTCTCCCTCTCTCCCTCCCACTCTATCTGAAGATGAATGCAAAAATGTCCTCGGGTGAGGATAAAGAGAAAAAACTAAATTTTAATTCAAGCATAATAGGAGTCTGAAATGCACAGGAGCATCACACACCTTTATCACTCACATCAGACACACATAACCGCCCTCACTCCTTTCAAACTCATCTTATTTATGTAAGTTCTCTCTCAAAATATTTTGGTAAACAAATGTAACAGAACTATAGTTATTAAGCAAGAACTGAGAGTAAAAAGACTTTGGAAATTAATTTTTCTGTTTCAAAGTCAGCATCACTATTACTCAGCAGCACTGACAATTAAAAATTAGTGTGGATACACTATTTTAAGTACTGTCCTTAAGAACTCAAGTAATTTTTTGTTTTCAACCTAAATTTTCATTAAACACTCCTCCATAAAGAGCCTTGCTCACTTCCTCCAAGTGCACTCACTTGCTGGTCAGAACCCGGGTTTAGGGACACTGTCCAGAGATTTTCTCAAAGCGAGTCCTCGCAGGGCCAGTGTCGAGCTTCCTGCTTTCCATTTGGGAAGCACATGCCACACACAGGCTCTGACGTTAATGAACTTAGTATCTAGAAGAAGGAAACTCTTGTTTAAAGGGCATGAGTGTTCAAAAGTTCTCATAATTTAAGTTAAATAATTTTCTTTAACCAAGCGAAGTTAACATCCTAAGTTAAATAACAGAAAATACAAGTTTCAAAAACTACTCTTGAATTTGGGGCTGTTATTTGGACCATCCTCATCCACTCCACCATCACAAGGCTTGAAAAAAAATGTTTAATGTGATAAACTGATTATTTTGCTTAACAAATTTTAATTTAACTTTTCCAGTGACTGTTAATTTATTTTTTTGCTACACAGTCTCAATAATAACTGAAATTACAACTACTATTCTGGACAACCACTATTCATTCAGGACTCAGACCACACAACAATGTTATTTATGCTGTTTTGAACACAAGGAAAAAAAATACAAAGTAAATACTGTAACAGATTATGTACCTTTAATGAGTTTAGTAAAAACAGATCTTCCCATTCATCTATAAACTGCCTTATTTATGTCCTGAACATGTGCTGTTTTGCGGCTAAACAGAGTTCAAGAGACTATTAACCCTGAAGGCCTGATATTGACTCAATTCATGAGTCTTAGGTTCATTTCCTATCAGATGCTCAATCTCATTATGCCAATTTCTTCATATACAAGACTGAGATGACATTAGCTGTTTATTTTGTGTTTAAAAAACCACTAAGGCCCTGGCCGGTTTGGCTCAGCGGTTAGAGCGTCCGCCTGTGGTCAGGAGAGACCCGGGTTCGGTTCCCGCTAAGGGCATGTACTTCGGTTGCAGTTTGTCCCCGGCCTTGGTTGGTCGTGCGGGTGGCAGCCACTCGATGTGTCCCTTTCACATTGATGTTTCTCTCTCTCTCTCTTCCTCTCTCTCCCTCCCACTCTATCTGTACAAAAAATGGAAAAATGTCCTCGGGTGAGGATGATAAAAAAAAAAAACAAAAAAAAAAAACCACTAAGATGCATCGTGATGTGAAAATCTACTTCACAGGGATATTATGAACTACCCTGTCCAATTCATGACAGAAAAAAAGAATACAAATCTAGACTATTAGTTGTGATGGTGTTAGTTTTTGAGTTTTTGTTATTGTTTTATTTTGCAGTTTTTCCTTTTTATTGAATGCCTTGGGATGACACTAGTTAACAAATTATACAGGTTCAGTTGTACAATTCTATAGCACATCATCTGTATTGCATGAGTGCTCACCATCCCAAGTCTGGTCTCCCTCCATCACCACTTACCCCCCTACCCTCCTCCATCCCCTCCCCCCAAATCACACTGTTGTCCGGGTCCATGAGTTGAGTTTTTCCTTTTTGCTCTATCCCTCCACCCCCACCCTCCACAGCTGGCAGCCTGCTCTCTAGCTGAGTCTGTCTCTATTTTGCTTGTTAGTTCATTTTGTTCATCCTAGACTTTTACTTGTTTAACTAATAGTGTTAATTCTTTTTAAAATGTTATTAATATTATCTTCCTTCACCTTTTTATTTTATTTTATTTTTTTATCCTCACCTGAGGACATTTTTTCCATTTTTTGTTCAGATAGAGTGGGAGGGAGAGAGAGGAAGAGAGAGAGAGAGAGAGAGAGAGAGCGAAACATCAATGTGAAGGAAACACATCGAGTGGCTGCCACCCACACGACCCAACCAGAGCTGGGGAAAAATTGCAACTGAGGTATGCGCCCTTAGCGGGAACCGAACCTGGGTTTCTCTGGACCTCAGGTCAAAGCTCTAACTCTGAGCCAAACCTGCCAGGGCTTCCTTCACTTTTTTAAAAGGTATAGATATATTCTTCTTCTAAGCTCATCAAAGATCACACCTCTGCCATTAAGCCTCATCTTTACTCCAATTAACACTGATTTCTCTCTGAAGGCATTCAACACCAAACTTACATCAGCACCTAAGTGTCAGGCACATAGGCTGGGTGGGGATGTAACATCAACAAGACATGGTCTTGGGCCCTCAGAGTTTATACTCCAAAGCACGCAACAAAACAAACATGTAAATGGAGAATTTAAAAAAGGTGTATGTACTTGGACAGAACTATGAAGAGAACAGCACACAGAAGACTCACTTGCCCGAGCTGGCAGGTCAAAGGATGCGTGTGAAGGAAGAGTCCACCAGAAAGCTTAGCCAAGGCTTTGGACAGTGTGGAGAAAATCTACACAGGCGAGGAGGACAAGCTACAGCTGCAGAAGGGAGCAGGGCCACATCCCTGGGGAGCAGGGCCACATTGCTGGGGAGCATGGCAGGTCAGGCTAAAAGAGCTTGGGTCTGAGCCGCTAGGGCCGCTTCCCAAACATGAACTATTTGGATCCCTTGGAGATCCTGATTCAGTAGATGTAGGGTTGGACCTGGGAATCTGCTTGCACAAGCCTAGGAGACTCCTATGAACTGCAGTTGGCAGGGGACACGGGAGGTTGGAAGCAGAGAGCTGCCAGAGTACCACTGCCCACTTCAGATACAGTGGGGATGCGCCATCTCCTCTGCTCCAGCACCAACTTTCACATTAAGTTATACCTGATGTAACCTGTCACCAATTACTGTCTTATATTCTTTACGTTTTTTTATACAAGTCTTTCTCCCTCAGTAGACTGTAAGCCACATGAAAGGAGAGAACAAAACCAAATTTCTCATTTATTCTCCAGAGCATCTGCTAAATCTCTTGAAAAAAATATTTTAAGAGTTATTTGAAAAGAGGATATTGCTTCAAACACATTTTATCCATCACTTTAGAACACCATATCTTTTACATTCGTCTTCATTAGGCTTCCTTGGTACTCCCTGTTACTTAATGACTTGCCCATAAATCTATTTCGTATGAGTAAATTGGTCTCGACATCACAATTTTTCCCATCACTTGGCTCACGCAATTTTAAGTTTTCATCTTTCAAATTGGATAAGGCAGAAGGAACAGTTCTCACCATTTCTGAAGGAAGAGAAAAGCCTCTTGAACCCAGGCGTGTAAGAGGGGGAAAGCCTCCTTTAGCAAGGCCACCTTGATAAAACTCTTCCCTTCAAAATTAAAGCCCGACCATCCTCTACACCTCCTCTGACTCCAACTCAGGCTGGTCCTAACTGAATTACCTATTTTCACACAGGGCTATTACATCAAAGGCAGTATGTTTTCTGCCAGAAGCTTCCGAGAGATCTAGGATGAGAACATTTGCAAACTGCCCTGTAGAGGTTTTCTTTAGTAAAAAAAAAAAAAAAATGGGGAGGGAGGGACAGAATCAAATTTTATTCCTCCAACTATGTGCCAGGCATGAGAGTCACGAGCAATCCACAATGTCACCATTTGAGGTGGTAAGCAGAACCAAGGCTCGATCCCAAAGCCCAAGCCCTTGCAAAGGAGCCGCTGCCCTTCAGAATGGGTCATGGTTCACCTGCCAAACCTGGGGGATGGCCAGAGACAGTGAGAGATCTAGCTGGAGGGCAGCAGTACTAGGAGGGGAAAGGCCTAAATCACTGTAGATTGGCCCACAAAGAACTAGAATAGCCAAACATAAAGAAATATCTCTGATGTGCCTTTGAGTTATGTCACTGAGCAGAAAACATGTCACCTCTTGTTTCTTGGCCATATTTACATGTAAACTTTCATCGACTCTTAGAGTATTTACAGTTTAGGGTGAATAAAACTGAAAAGCAAAAAAACTGCTATGAAACATAACATTATAACACAAGTAAATGCACTTGAGCAGAATACGTCACTGTCAGAGAGGGCATCAGACACTGAGAACAGCTCTCCTGTCCAGCAGTCTAGTCTCCCACAGTAGGTTCTAAACTGCTTGGGGACAGGCACAATGTCTTATTCATTAGGTATCTCTGGTACCTAAACACACTATCCAAGCTTGTGGAAGAAGCATTTAAGGGCAGTGCTAAGACAAATCCCTGCCACTGCCCCGCCCCCCCCCCACACACACAACTACGGGTACAGTGACTAATACAGTACCATCCATGCACTTAAGCAGCTGTAACACAGTAACATCTCTATTACTGACCACCAAATAAAAGATGGAGAAAAGAGAAATGTTTCTGTGTTGTCTAAGAAGCAGCTGCATCCAAACCAACAGAGATGCTTGCTAAAATGCAGATTCCCGAAGCCTCCCCAAAGTCAGACTGTCTAGTCAAGGGGCTCTGGAATTCACCCAAAGTTCCCCAGATAATCCCTATAAGCAAGTGGTCCTTGACCAGAAGAGATTTTTACCTCCCACCCTCAGGGACATTTAGAAATGTCTAGAGACATTTTGGCTTGTCTGGGATGAGGACATGGTGCTACTGGTGTCTAGTAGGTAGAGGCCAAGGATATTGCTTATCCTTCTACAAAGAACAGGCCTCCATAACAAAAAAGTATCTGGTCCAAAATGTCAATTGCAGGTGAGAAACTGCTATAAGCCCTAAATAAATTTTAAAAAGCATTGTTTTCTGGTCTTAAAGTAACAAGGAGTTTAAAAAAAAACAATAAACCTTCAAGGTAGATCAAATGAAAATAAATAGCTAAATTCTCACCAGATGACAGAGTATAAATTATAACTTATTAGATATTTTATCCCAACATTTAGAGAATCTGAAAACAACTGTCATGAAATCTCGAAGGAGTTGCTATTGTAAAGAATGGATTTCTAATCCCGGCCATGAAAATGGTGCCTTTCCCATTTTCCAGTGTCTGAGATCAGATGATTCCAATCTCTGTTCCTTGGTACAATTCTAAAATGATAAATTAATCTAAGTGACGTAAACATCTCTTTAAATTCTAGTACTGAGTATGGCAGCTTAGTGAGACCACCCAATACAGCATCAAGAGTACTCACTTGGGAGGCAGGACACCTGAGTTCTAATCCCAGCTCTGCTACTTAATTAGCTGTGCGCCTTGGATAACTCATCATTTCACCTCTCAAGGCCTCAGGTTCCTCATCTGCAAAATAAGGCAGTTATGCTAGAAGATCACGTAAGTGACCTAACAGTCAGTCAACCTACACAGTTACTCCAGTAATACACACACACACTAACATATCCTCTGAAGATTCCTTCGCAAAATTCAAGCAAGTGGTATTGCCAGACACCATCATAAAAAAAAAAAAAAAAAAAAAAAAGAGCCCTGGCCGGTTTGGCTCAGCAGCTAGAGCGTCGGCCTGCGGTCCTGGGTTCGGTTCCCACTAAGGACACGTACCTCGGTACCTCGGTTCCTGTTTGTCCCCGGCCCTGGTTGGTTGTGTGGGTGCTGGGTGGCAGCCACTCGATGTGTCCCTTTCACGTTGATGTTTCTTTCTCTCTCTCTCTTTCTCTCTCTCCCCCTCCCTCCCTCCCTCCCTCCCTCTGTCTCGCTCCCACTCTATCTGAACAAAAAATGGAAAAATGTCCTCGGGTGAGGATTAAAAAAAAAAAAGGAAAGAAAGAAAGAAAAAAAATTCAAGAGAGGCTCAACTTTGCTGGTCGGTGTTTTAGAAATGCATTATGAGCTATCATACTTTTGATAAAACAGGCAGTCCTATATGAATGATGTAAACTACTAAAACTATTTTGTTAAACAATTTTTGGCAATGTGTATGAAGACCTTAAAAGACTAGAATGCAGTACCTATTCTAATAAATTCACTTCTCAGAATTAATCCAAGTGAATAAACTAAAATACAGGTGATTTAAAAGAAGTTTATCAGAGTATTATCTGAGATGCTAAAATGAAGCAAGAATTCACAAATACCCTAAATGCCCCACAGTTGGGACAGTTGAGAAATTTATGGGACCCACACAATGATAGAATAGGTAGCCAATCAAAAAAAAAGGTACTTAGGAAGATTTTTTATAAAAACTGATCTTAGAGAGAGAAAGGGAGAAAAGGAGGGTGGGAAAGAAGGGGGGAGGTAGAGAAAGAAACATGGATCACTGCCTCCTGGACACACCTCATCTGCAACCTGGGCATGTGTCCTGACCAGGAAGGAATTGAACTGGCCACCTTTCAGTGAATAGGACAACGCTCCCACTGAGCCACTCGGCCAGGGTAGGAAGAATTTATAATTAAATTGGAAAACGAAATATACAGTTAAGTGATTAATAAAGGGGGTGGGGGGAGCCAATCTTGGCTCGAGGAGAAATGAGCACATGCAAGAGTAAAATACGCAAAGAAATAGTAAGTGGAAGGATTCAGTGAATAATTTTTTTCAAAAAGCCCTTAGTATTTTCCATTTCCCTACCACAGCGTTGGATTACTAAGGGGGGCACACGGAAACACGATGAACCTTGCGTGCATCACCCTAATCCTTACACGCTGAACAAACACACCTGCCATGAATGCGCGCGTACCCCTACACACAAAAGCCCTGGGGACAGGACGTAACGCCGCACAACTGTGGGTGGCCATCCCCAATCTGGTGAGGTGGGCTAGCCCAGCTCTCAATTCCTGGGGGGTCAGGTGCAAGCACCCCGACGGCTGCAGGCGCGACAGGCAATGCCCTGCAGCCCCGACAGCCCGGCAAAGCCTGGCCGTGCTGGGAGTCCGCTTTCCCGCGGAATCCCCAGGCTAAGGTCCCGGTTCCCTACGCAACTTCGACAACCAGACCCGTGGGTCCCGGCGGCTGCGTTCGTCGCCGCGCGGTCCCGGCGCCCGTCCCGGGGGTTCTCCCGCCCCGGCTCAGCGGTCCCGGCGCCGGCCACCGCGGACCTCCAGGCCCGACAGGCGCCGCGAGCGCGGCCTTCGCGGGGACCGGCCTCCCGCAGGCTCCGCCGCTGCTCCCCACCCTGCCCGGGGCGGCGGAACACCGGGGCTACGAATGGCCCCTGCGTTCCCGGGCTCACCTCGTGGCTGGGACCCGGAATCCCACTCTGGGTGCCCCACAAACCCAGCCTCCGCCGACAACGGGATGAAACCGAAACTGAAACCGCCCAAGGGGCGCTTTTCTGCCTCAGCCAATCACTGCTCCCGGGGCTACGGCGGCCCGCGCGACCAAAAGAGCCCGGCTTCGCGGGAGCGCGCCCAGCCTGGCGCTGGGCTAGTCCTGGCAAAGCCGGGGCTGCGGGGGTCGGTGGGAAGCGCTGATGCTCTCATCTGTAACAAAAGGCACCCTGCCCCCCAAAAAACCATAAAGAGAAAGACAGGAAGTGATCTTTTAGCCAGGATTTCTTTCAGGCAGAAATGTAAGAAATAACTTGAAGTCGTAGGAAACTGGAATTTACTGCTAAAGAAATAACTATACATCTCCAGAAATTATGTCCCTGAATAATGTAATGCAAAGAAATAAATAAAAGAAGCGGCCTCAAATCTTTAAGTCCACCTTTGGATTTGGATTCAGTGTGTGAAGATGAAGTCATTATTAGCAAGAGATTGTTTCCCTGGCAACGTTAATCGACAAAAAGGATTAAAATCGCTAAAGTAACTCTGTATTATAATGGAATAAATTGCGTTACATTAAAAACTATTTCTAATTGGAAATGGTGTGCAGACATTAAGTGCTACTATGGGAACCTGGTTTAGAATTTTGGGAATTCTCAATATGCTTCCTATTAATGGAAAGGGAGCGGTAAGTAAGGACATTGTCATACCCAGACTTGATTCCTTTTTCTCCCTATGCACATGGCTTCATCAACTTAAAACGTATACTTTAATTCTACATAATTTGTAACACTATAAACAGTGATATTTTTAAATGCTATAAAATCTAAGTGCTATAAAATCTAAGTTGCAGAATGTTTTTCTAAGACAAAAATGAATTCCCCTCTTGTAAGCCTCTGTTAGCCAGAGGGATGAACCTTTGATATGACAGACAGAGAACAACTGGGTATGATTTCCTAGAAAAGAGACACTTCCTTGTATCCTTCTATAAAAGCTCACTTTGGGTCAAGACCAAGCATTATGGATTTATTGAAAGGCTGTTTTGAAGTCCTTGCAGTATAAAATGTAACGTAAACAAAAATGTAACGTAAACTTTATTTAAGTATTACTTAAATAAAATAATTAGTTGCAAAGAACATACATAATAGGACATAAAGTCCTGTCCCTAAAAGCCTTCTTCACAAAAAAACATCAAATTGTACCAGGTTCCTTATTGCTTGCTTCAATTATTAAAAAAGAAAAAGACGAAGAAAGACTGTTTTGATTCATAGCTTCTTTCCCTTTGCCACAGAGCCCTGATGGAGTCATTAAGACTAATGTGGTGGACAGGGGGTGATTAGAAGTTTTAGAGGCATGGTTCATCTGCAGAGTTAGCTGCAACACTTTCCAAGGGGCATGGACCTGTAAGGGCCCAACTAGACAAATGGGGTGGGTGCCATGAATTACTTCATGAGCCAACAAGTTTACCTTTCAGCAACATATAATTGGCTTTTATCAACTCACAGAGCAACTTATCACATTTCACAGGTTGTTCTTTTTTTAGCATCTTTAATTTTACAAAGAATGAGCAAGATTTTTCTGAATACTAGTCCACCTTCAAATCCATGGACATAAATGTTAATTTATTAAAATCATAAAAATAATGATCATAAGTCATAAAAATAATTTGACAAGATTTAGTTTACCTTACACAGTTGTTTAGCTTAATTTTTTTTCTTTATTGATTTTAGAGAGAGAGGGAGGGAGAGGGAGAGAGAGATAGAAACATCGATGAGAGAGAACATCATTTGGCCACCTCCTGCATGCCCTCCACTGGGGATTTGACCCACAACCTGAGCATGTGCCCTGACTGGGAATCGAACTGGTGACCTCTTGGTGCATGGGTCGACGTTCAACCACTGAGCCATACTGGCTGGGCTTAGTTTAATTTTTAAAATAGATGAACCTACATTAACACATCATTATCACCCAAATTTCATGGTTTACATTGGGATTCACTCTTGGTGTTGTATATTTTATGGGTTCTGACAAACATATAATGATATGTACCCATTATTACAGTATCATACAGAGTATTTTCACTGCCCTAAAAATCCTCTGTGCTCTGCCTATTCATTCCTATCTCCTCACTAATCCCTGGCAACCACTGATCTTTTTACTGTCTGTCTGGCTTTGCCTTTTCCAGAATATAACAAAGTTGGAATCATACAGTTATGTAGACTTTGAGATTGGCTTCTTTCACTTAGTAATGTTGTCAGGGAAATTGGGGTATCCTCTCTCCCACTGAGTGCTGAGGGTGAAGTCCTTATAATTATCTCGAGAAAAATAATTTTCTAAGACTCAACATGGGAGAATGAGTGATTTTCATTTGTGTGGAATTACACCTCAGGGTTTTCAAAGTCCCAATTCCCCTTGTCCAGTTACAGAAGAAGTGTAGCTGGGGTTTTAGTAGAGCTAGAAGCAAAGCCAGTGTCCAGAGTTTCCATTCCATGTTGCAGCCAGGTCCAGTTCAGCATCAGGCTAGTTGCAGTCCATTAGTTCATTGTGTACAGCCATGTGGGCGAATGCAGGGGAGCCAAGAGAGCACACCCCCTGCAACAAGAGTCCCAAGAGAGCCAAGAGGAACCCAAAGTACAAGAGAAACCAAGAGAGGGAACTCCTTTGTTTAAGGGATTAAGTACCCTTGCAGTGGCCATGTCCATTCTGTCCAACAAGCTGTTCCTAGGTTTTACTCACAGGCAGTACCTTCCCTAGTCCCCCCAGCTTTACTGGGCATGCATTTATCTCCCACCCAATCCAGTCCCTTCCCTCAGTGATCTGCAGGAAATAGATGGGGGGGGGGGGCTCCCTGGGGAGTGCAAAGATTTAGCTTCCTAGTGAAGCTGCCCAAATGACTTGCCTATAGTATTTGGCCTTCCCTTTGCTCCGTTCCTGTTGTTAATAACTAGGTTAATTACAACAATATCAGTAATATGCATTTAAGTTTCCTCTATGACTTTTCATGGCTTTATAACTCATTTCTTTTAAATTCTGGATAATTGTTCATTGTCTAGAAGTATCACAGCTTACTTGTCCATTTACTTTCTAAAGTACATCTCAGTTACGTCCAACTTTTGACACTTATGAATAACCTACTGTAAACATCTGTATGCATGTTTTTGTGTGGACATAAGTTTTCAGATCATGGTAAATGAGTTGAGTTTTCAACTCTTTGGGTAAGTACCAGGGAATGCAATTACTGAATTATATGAGAGAATGTTTAGTTTCGTAAGAAACTGCCAAGCTGTCTTCCAAAGGAGCTGTACCAGTTTGCATTCCCACCAGCAATGGATGAGAGTTCCTGTTGCTTCACATTCTCACCTGCATTTGGTGTGTCCAGTGTTTTGGGTTTTGGCCATTCTGATAGGTGTGTAGTAGAATCTCACTATAGTTTTAATTTGCATTTCCCTAATGACATATGATGTGGATTATTTTTTCATATGCTTATTTGTTATCTATATATCTTCTTTGGTGAGGTGTCTTTTCTGATCCTTTGCCATTTTTTAAATTGTTTTATTTTTATTGTTGAGTTTAAGAATTCATTGCATATTTTGCATAGTAGTCCTTTATCAGATATGCCTTTTACAAATATTTTCTCCCAGTCTGTGGCTTGTCTTATCATTCTCTTGAGCCTACTATTCTTAAAATAGGCAAATACAAGGATAAAAATACTAAGGTGAACTCTTGCCATTTTATTATTTGTCCCAAACGTCTATAGTCCTATTCCTTAAAAAAAAAACAAAAAAACAACTATGTCCTTTAGTGTTTCATGTTCATAAGAAAAAGTATCATGTCTTGCTTATTTTTAAGACACCCAACAGCCTTGTAAACATGTTGGGTGCATTATGTTGATCCTGATGATGATAGATACAAACATGGAATTGAATTGGCCAACAGTCTCCACAGCAGAATTTGATACCTAAATCAGTGTTATAATTCTAAGAATGCTGCTTGGTCCTGTTCCAGCAATGCATTACTAGTATGAAGTGCTGGTATGCACTTGCATCTTTCCTGGATCTTCAGATGGACAGTAAAAACATCTAACCTGCCACATCCTAGGTTTGGACTATTACCTACCTTCTATCATGGGATGTGAAAGATACCCTATAGTTGTGGAATACCTCCTCTCCCTCTCTTTTTTACAGTGTAGCCTTTCAATCATCTGTGCAGCATCTCAATTCCAATTCTCTGCCTCAAATGGGGCCAATGCCTTGTCTCTTGTACTCATGGGCATTAAAACTGTCACATTCTTCTTTCTCCTGATCCAACTCAAACCTTATCACCACCTTGGTTAGTGGCAGAGCTTTAAAATTGGTCTTATCAGTTGGAGCCCAATCCCCTTCTCTTCAACCAGGCCAACACCTAATTATACTTTAGGTCTTAGCTCAAACATAGATCTCTTAGAGAAAACCTTTGATAATCCCTCAGACTAGATATTTCTCCTCTTGTTCATGATCATAGTACACAATACATCTCCTTTGTGTTACTTGTGAATGCCATAATTAAATAACTGTGTGTGTGTGTGTGTGTGTGTTTGTGTGTTTCTTCCCTCATGTGTACTCTGTGAGCCCAGGGCTGATGTCTCTATTAGTTAACATTGTGCTATATCTTCTTAGAAGTAATATGAGCATATTGACTGATGGACAAATTTCTGAGGAAAGTCAGTGTGTCTTCTACTTTTACCACAAGATGGGACACAGTCTAAATCATGGGTACTTGGTTTCAGATATAATGCTTGAGATGTTTAAATAAATGCTCAGACTTCATTGGCCATCATTTTAGTATAACTTGAATTTCAGAAGCAATGGGCTCCAGGTCTGAGCTCCTCTGAGCAGAGTCTTTCAAATGCCGGGATGCTTTATGCGCCACCGTGAACTCCAGAAAACCTCTCTCAGCTGTAAAATTCAGTGAAATCGATGTGACGCTGCCCTTGTATTTTAATCAAGATGAACTTGAAAGGTGAACATTATAAGTGGGAGAAATTATTTATAATTTGGTAATAAAAGTT